TGCAGGGGTGTTTGCTGCTGCTCTGTGCAGCGCCCGGCCCCACCCGCAGGGCTGTGCTTGGGGACTCTTCCTTGTGTTTACACAGGGCTGGGGACGTGCCACTTCCTGCCTGAGCTCCGTGCCCAAGGTGGGGGCAATGGGCTGCCCTGGGCTCCGGACCCCCAGGTGGCGGGGGACCTGGGAGGGGCGGGCCCTGCGGGCACCCAGTTCCCATCCCTAGGAGCCACTGAGTGGAGACCACCCCCCCTTCATCCCTGCAGCCCCTCACACCCCATGGCTCAGTTTCAGGCCGGGGGCTTGGAGGGTGATCGGGACCCACACCCACCCGCCCTGACCCATGGGCCCCATCAGCCCGACTCCCCGGTCTCTTTCTTCCTTTTCCCTCTTTATCTTTCTTGTGCATGCACTTGCCAAGCCCACTGTGTCCCCGTGTGCCCTGATGGCCAGAGAGGCAGTGCTGGTGGCCAGGGGGCAGGGCCCCCATCTTGGTGGCAAAGGAAAGGCTCTGGGGGGATGGGCTCCACCTGCTCCTTCCCTGGTTCTGCCAGCGGCTCCCTGTGTCCCGCCTCACTTTCCCCGACTGTGCCGTGGTAGAGTGTGGGGGTGTTCTCCAGGACACTGTGGCCGTGGTAACTTGTGATTCTGAGTCACTGGGGGTGTGGGGTGCAGAGGGATGGGGCAGGCGCAGGAATCTGAGTCTGAGACCGGAACATTCCCGGTGTCCCTGGGGGAAGAGGGCTGAGTCTCAGGTGGTTCCCCAGGGGCCCATCACTGGGGGAGTCACCCAGCCTGGAAAGGAGCGGACGCCCCCGCGGTGGCTGCAGCAGGGTCGCCGTTAGAACTCACGAGGGTCAGCATGGGTCCTCAGACGGGCAGCCAGGACCCGCAGGGCACAGATGCTGGAGGTCCCTGCGGTGGCTCACCAGGAAGGATGTCATCCGATCCTCTGGGACAGGGTCCGGCCGGCCCTGGAAAAGACCTCGTGTCCCCTCATGCTATGGGCTGGCCGTACTGGGGCTGTGAGGCCAGAGGGGCCCCCACAGTGGCCCAGACTACGCCACACAGTGCAGCTGCTGAGACTCGAGGGCTGCAGCAGCACGGGGCCGTCAGCACCCCCGGAGCGGCCGAGGCCACATACAAGGCCGTCACACTGATCCAGGGGTTCTCTACTGACGCACAAACGCATAAGGGGCCCCCGGCCTGCCTGTGTGCAAATGCCAGAGAAGCCTAACTCTGGGCTTCTTTTTTTTTTATTTTTTGAGACAGAGTCTCACTGTTTTGCCCGGGCTAGAGTGCCGTGGCGTCATCCTAGCTCACAGCAACCTCAAACTCCTGGGCTCAATCAATCCTCCTGCCTCAGCCTCCCGAGCAGCTGGGACTACAGGCATGCGCCACCATGCCTGGCTAATTTTTTCTATATATTTTTAGTTGTCCGATTAATTTCTTTCTATTTTTAGTAG